GTCGCAAATGCATCTTCGTCACGTGGCATCACAGCCACGCGGCATTTTGGCACATACATTCAGTATTCAAGATGGTGAACGATATCGATATTGTCGCTATCCTCGTGTTTACAAATTTTGTTTTGTATGGCTTGCTTTATTTAGTTAGAAGATTTTGTCAAAGATTCGAATGAAGATTTTGGATTAGAGATATTTTCTTGGATCGATAAAGAACTGGTGTACAAAATATGCTTATTCCTCAATAAATAATACTATTTCAAGTACGATTCAGTTGTTTTGTTCTTTGAATTAAATTATATATGATTATTTGTGTTAAATTTATTATCCTTTCCTCTTTATTCTGATGTTATTTTATGTTGAATGTTAGTTATCTCGGTTAACTGCGTCAAACTTTACACAATTAAAACACCACGTGATTGTATTTTCTCACGTGACTACCAGACAAACTGTTATTGGCTGATAGAAACACATCTTGGCGGCGGTCACCGCAAAAGATAGAATTCAATCAACTTTTGCGGCACAAGAAAATCGAAACAAAATCGACTTCTGTGGTGAAAAGAAATGATGTCATTCTGAATAAAATTTAATTCTGTGATTTGCCAAGTGTCTGTATGAATACGATAAATAATTTGTGTTTGAATTAAAATCAACTAAATAAAATTTAATTCTGTGATTTGCCAAGTGTCTGTATGAATACGATAAATAATTTGTGTTTGAATTGAAATAAATTACTGACATGGTTTCAAAAATACCAGATGTCATTGTCGCTTTTCCTTGCTGCGCCACGTGTACATCCAGCTTAAGGCTTCATCAAGCTTGTCAAATGTTGAAAGCCTTGCTGTTTGTTGATTTTCAACTGATTTTTCTGAAGTAGAGGCCCAAAACTGCTTGATCTTTGTGCAATTTTTTTCCAGTCAGTTATTGTGGCCTTGCCCACTCCAAACTCTACTGCCAATTTCGTTTCACTTTCACCCTTTTCCAGGATGGGGCATTGATGTCATTGATAGTGTTGGATCTATATAAATCAGATCTGTTTTACTGCTTGTTTCTGCATTATTTCAATTATTCGGCTAATCTGAACTGGGCTCAGTCCCAATTAGTTCAGACTAGAAGAACACTACTGTAGTTTTAAGTTTAAATATTATTATTATTAAACAAAAATCATACAAGTTATTTTCAGAAAAATAATGTATCAAGAGAAGACTTTTTGTTTCAAAAATTGGTATATAACTCAATAACAGTGAATGGCAGTTTCATTTATTAGGGCTGTAAAGTATTGGCCTTTTAGCAGAGAGGTAACAAAAGAAATGCTACCTTGTCAATTGGACCCTTCTGCGGTTGGGTAATATACAACTTGTAGTGTTGACTTGTAAACAGAGGGAAAACAAAGGAAGCACTGACTTTGTCAATTGGACCTACATGTGGTCAGATGATAGACCATTTGCCATATGGTAAACTACTAAATATAAACAAGTGGCAGACATTAGTGTAGCTCCACTCTCGTCAGATAACAGCAGACCTGGGTGTAAGCTGTTCACAAAAGAAAGAGTTGTAATTGGTTGGAAGTTTTCGTCCAAAAACCCTTAAATTGCAGAGCAAACGGGAAAGGGGGGGGAGAAGGGCAAGAGACTGTTAACACAGTAGTCTCAGGCACTTAGGAAGCCTGCTGAGCTTAGAGAGAGCATTCTTCTCTGGTAACTATCTCAGGGATGGGTAAGTGCAGAGACTGGACAGATCATGCAGTTGAGCCAACTCCATAAGCTGACTGAGGCCTCCCCAAAGTTTAATAGTTCCCGGAAGCCAATCTAGTACGTGATGCACCACGCTTTGTTATCCTGTATATACTGTTTTTGAACTTGTACACTCTACATATAGAATTTGTAAATAAACTGTAAATATTGTATAACTTGAGTGTGGAGATGTGCTTTCCATCAAATCTGGATCACTATATCAAATTGTGATACACACGGAAACCAACTCAACAAGACAGAGTTTGGGAAAGAACTTCACTAGATCTTCACTAGGGCACTTTCACCAAATGTTCAACATTTGTTTTTGCTTAAGATTTTCACAGAATGAAGCATTTCATAAAGTTCTTTTCATGTGTATTTCTTTGTTGCTGTTTTAATTTCATTATTTCTAATTTTATCATCACCCTGAACTTCATATGCTAGTTCTGCCAGATTAATGTCTTTCATCAATAACATCATCATCATAGACTGGAGCAATTTTTGAACATTTTCCTTATCTGTATTAGTTAATCCCTTATTTAAGCCAATACAAGTTGTATAATTTTTTTCTATGGTACCATTAATTTCAGAGTCAAACCCTCAGAAATCATTTGTATATTCAGGAATATATTTTTGCCAACAGCTCTTGTGTTAGTTATCATAACTTCTCTCCATGCTTCATAAATGTCTTCAAGAGCACTTTTTTTTATGCTCAAATTTGTCCAAATTTTATTAAAAACTCTTCTGTTTTCCCTCCTAAAAGTCTTACATACTGTAGGTAATATGCTTTAAATGTTAAAATGACCCACTGATCCACAGGCTGGAATAATGAAGTCATATTGGACAATAAAAAAATCTTGCAACAAGTCACATAACATTCCAGACTTTTATGAGATTTTATTTTAAAAATAACATTTGTATTATTAATCAAAATAAATAACTAATATTACATGTGGTGCCATCTGTTATGAGATTTTGTTATAAAAACTTTATATATTTTTAATTATTATAAAATAGCAAAAGACTTAATTTTGAGGGTAGAGATGAGTTTTATAAGAACACTGTAAATGCTAACAAGTAAAAGCTCTATTAAGACTGACCCCTCGCAAGATATGACATGTGATCACCCTCTATCTCTCCATCCTCTTGACTTTTCACAACAAAATTTAATAGCATCAATGTGGAAGACAATTTCCTGCTATGTACAGTACATTGCAACATGTCCTATCTCACAGTGGCAATGACTGCAATGATGTGTTCCCAAAGATTCTGAAGGTTTCTGGCCAAAGTTGCATAAATCATTTCTTTCACATAACTCCACAGAAAGAAATCCAAGATCAGATTACTCCTAATCTGATCTTGGAGATGCTGGCTGCCACACTATCAGGCATACTAGACCATGACTTGCACTTTCTCTTGTGACAAAGCCGACTAGATAATAATGCTCACGATTTAACTTCTGCATCATCTTGCAGTACAAAAAAAAATCTCCATAAAACTTGACGAGTTTTTCCACCAGATACCATTTATTGCTTTTACATATCTTAAACAATTCATTTTTTATGGAAAATAAAAATTGGGTACTTTTGAGCAGAACACCCTGTATTGTGAATATGGTATTACTAATGATGAAAAATAACTGACCATTCAATTATTGAAATCATTTGAATATCTTAAATGATTCATTTGTTCTTTTTTTTTTTCCTTTTTTCAAAAATGTTACAAAAATCATTTCATTTATAATCAAAATTTTTCAGTAAAAATTAATATTTGTCCACAAAAGTGGGACTTTATTCCTTTGTTGACAAAAACTGCACTAGATAGTTGAGCAGTTTTCTAAATCATATTGTAAAAATAATGGATAATTTAAAAAGTTATTCAGATTGTAGGTCTTAATTTGTTCCCATAATGGACACAATGGATACCACTTTCAGTTTCAGCAATTTCAAAAATTGCTTGAGACCTTTCATATTTTTTGTGTTTATTGTAAAAACATTCATAGAAGCTGAAAATGAGATAACTAATAATTTACCTAGTGCTTCAATACTTCTTCCAATAATTATTTTCTTAAAAAAACAAACATTTTCAGCCTCTTCAGGTATTATAAGCAGAAAAAAGAATTTGAAAATTTCTAAAAAATTTCATAGAATTTTAACATAGCTAATAATGTTGAAGTGCTCTATACATTCAGAAATTTAAATGCCAATTTGGATATCTGCCAATTTAAATTTTGAAATGTATAGAACATTCCAACATCATTAGCTTCATTAAAATTCTATCAAATTTTTGCAAATGCTTTCGAATCCTTTTTTTCTGCTCAAACATAACTGAAGACAGTCAATGAAGAGACCGAAAATGTTTTTTTTTCTTTTAAAGAAAATAATTGCCAGAAGAAGTATCGAAATGCTAGATAAATTATATGTTTATTGTGAAAACTGTAAAGCGATTACATTATTTTAGAGCTAAACATCCGAGAAATTATAAAGATTTAGCAAAAAATAAGATGGAATTTTACAGATTTGAACGATTCCTCAGTAAGACCATCAAAAGGAATAGCCAGGGATTTTACCCAAAGTCCAAAGAAAACTCGCCCGCAAACAGCCAAGCAAACAAAACCACTGAATACCAGTAGTCAATCGCCAGTTCATGCATGGCCAGGTGGTGTTTTCCGGGTTTTCTTCACATTTGCGACACCTAAATAGGTGCCAGTTTCCCACGGAAAGTCCTCCGGGAGCCATCCTCCATGGCAGATCTATCAGTTGCATTGCCATATACAAACAAATGGCAAAAGAAGCCCAGTCTAACTCTGTGCCCAGATATAAGCTCTCGTGGCTCTTTCATTGAAACTGAAATCATCATTCAAATCCAACATTCAAACGAGTTCATCACTAGATATTGACAACTTTCTACAAATATTTATTGTTTTAATTGCTAATTCCTGGATGCGATTTCATAAAACTTTTAAATAATATATTAAGAAAGAATTCAATATGAAAACCATACACAGCGAGCACGTGTATCGATTTACATAAAATCCAATATCAATTCAACATTCAATATATAAAAATTAGTTATTTTGAGTTTAAAAAATTACAATAAATTAAAGAAATGATCACTTTTTAATTCAATATTTTTAAAGAAAATGCTTTTAGGAGCAAATATTTAAAATTCCACGTTTAAATAGGCTTAGAAGATAAATTACAAATATAATCACGTGTACAGAAAGTAGTAAATTATTTATATTCGTATACATTAATATAATCTACTAACCTTGATTTAGTCATTGTTTGTTTATATATTTATACTTATTACTGAATTGACCAACGTTTCTGTACTATCCTCACACAACGAGTTTTTCCGCCATTCAGAATTTTACGGTGGCGACCTCTATCATATTTTGAAAATCGTTCCTAATTTCAAAAAAAAAAATTTTAATATAATTTTTAAAATTATTATTTACTACTTATTAAAAAATATTAATAATTTACGATATATTTTTATTATTAATTTTATATTAAAGTATGGAATTCTTGTTTAATAAAAAATTTCCATATCTACAGTATTATAAAAATAATAATCTTTCTCTGTTAGAATTTCATAATCGTTAGTTTTTTAATCTTTATCTCTACATTATACATGAATTTAAAAAATATTAGATCTCTTATAGCTACAACACACACTACGAATCTATAATTTCAATCTAATGATAGTCGAAATGTATATTGTAATAGAGTTCTTGATGGCATTGTTATAATGTTGTACGTGGTTAGTTATATAGCAATGATCGGTTTCTATGAATATTGTATATTTAATTTATTTATTAAATTTCTTTCTTTATAAATGTTTTAATTGTAATATCATAATGTCGAAAGTACAGTATATATCCCCGCGTTTCTTTACGCAGCACTCGAGAAGCGCTTTACAGCGAACACACTGAAACTGGTTTCTAATTGGCCAACACTCTCGCTGCATAAGGAAACGCAGCCTATGTTACACGGTTGAAGAGGACTATTGAATAAGCCGAAATGCAATACTTATTCTCGAATTGCAATAGTCAGGAGTGCATTGCCTAAAAGTACGAAGTACTATACATTTGTCCATTGTCCAAACAAAACTTTTCTAAAAAGTCCTTAAGTAAATTCCCGAAATTATCCGGATTTATCATGTAATTGTTAATTTGAATGATGTATGAACACGTAGTAATTCTATACAACAGGAAAAATCAAGGGTTCACCTAGATTTGACATTTGATCTCTGGATTCAAAGTCAGAGTGTTATTACACATGAAACATATGTATCATCGAGTATTCCACCTTAATAGCCTATATTACAATTATATGATCAATTACACTATATTTTACACAATACATTATGATGTATTGTGTAAAATATTACCTCTACATAATTATACGGTGAAAATTTCAAATGATCATTGGATAGCACGATTGGAATTTCGTAATCGACGGCCGAACAGTTGAAGTATAATATTTGTCATACAGTTTTGAAAAAAATCAACGTATTTCTATAGTGAATTACTATCTCTGTAATGAAAATTTTTCAGATTCAAAGATGTTCCTCGAAATGAAGAGCAACATCTCCGATTCTCGCTTGTACATGTTGTACAAAATACTTATCTAGTTTATTTACTAATAATTTACTTTTCTTTCTCTTTGCTTGTGGCATTTATCAGGATACGATGCCATAAAATAATTTTGAGAAATCGAAATTTCTTTGCGTGATGGCACAAAATGCAAATAACTCTGAGTCATACATTTTCTTTGATTCATGATTGTTTTAATTACTGTATACTTAAAACTACTTCATTATAGTTTCGAGTTTAATATATTTCTAAAATCCCTTTTAGTAATACCTTGTTGAATCCCGGCTCGAATCAAATCCGAATCCTTATGATTTTTCATGGACAATTCATATTAAGATTTGCAAGAAAAATATTTATATATTACTCGATTTAAAATAATATAATAGAGTACAAAATTACAATTAAAATGTACTTAAAATCCAAATATTAACAGTAGTATCTTCAAAAAACGCTTAACTGTAATTGATGCATAAGCCGCCGCTCATGCTGATCGACTCCATTTTGAGTCAAGTCTATTCTAATGTAGTTATAAAACAGGGTGATTATAAAGAGCCAGTGTAAAATTTAATTCTTAAAGTTTTATTATACATTGCATCCATTTCTGAACTTCAATTCTACAAGCTGTAACACTCCATTAACTATTTTTCTATTGTCATTATTTATAATCGATTTAAGAATATATTTCTGTATAATATTATATTATATAAAAAAGTTATATTAGTGTATATAACTACAATTTTTACTTAGATTATATAATAAGAAGAAAATTATAAAAATAAAATAAACTGTAGTTTATTTATTTAAATTAATTTTAAACCAAACTAATGATCAGAATGAAAAATAAATTATAATATAATATTTTATTATTATAAAATTGTTTTTTAATATAAATTATGTTGTAAAAAATAATTTTTTTTGCAAGATTAATAATTGCTACATGATTTTGTTTTTGTCGGAGAAGCAACCAATTAAAATCGTATCATTAGTTTATTTCTTCATTATTTGGTTCTATATTACATTATAACTATAACAATTGCTTATAATAAAACCCTCTTATACACTAAAATACGAGGAAAAAATAATATAATAAATATAATTATATAAATCTTAAATTATTTTTTCCATCTTCTACTTGATCATTAACTTCTAAAATAATAATAGGTAGGGTGGACTAAAAGTTAGTTAACCGTGTGTTCTTAGTATAATTGCGCTTACGAATAGTTAGTAAATATGAGGTAAAACATAAGTTAATAAGGCAAGTTAACCGACTTTTGGCCCACATTATATGCAATAAGCTTAGGTATAAACTGTTTGAAATATTAACTTAATTTTTGTAAGTATTTGCAGAGATGTTACCACGTTACTACTTTCGAACCATTTATGACATTTAGAAGTTTTATTAGGAAATCATTTCGGTTGTTAAACCATAAATTTTCTTTTTTATCTCAGGAATCAAAGTACTTACAGTCATAAACATGTTGTAAAGAAGAAACTAACGATAGCATCCAGATAAATAACTTACATGCGAAACAATTTACTAAGGACTACTGTAAGTCCATTTCTAGATAAACTTTTCTTTATTGACTCCTGTAAATTCAATTACCTTATATATTTTTTATTGTTTACTTTTTTAAGTACATTTATCATTTTATATATTTATAAATAAATGTGCAACAAATGAAATGTATTCGTGTAATTAAAAATTGAGTTTAAAATGTCGAATATNTTAACAAAAATATATTTAAAAATTAAAATTAAATTGAGTTTTTAATGGGAAATTATTATATTTTAATCATATTACTATGAATTTATTTTTAATGTAGTTTTGTATGAGGTAATGTGCTGTATGGAAGGTGATAGGTGAATCACGTGATCGAAATATCGGCAAATTTAACTGAAATTACGAAAGCGTCAGTAGCAGATGTCGAGAATTTAAAGATACACGCGATGAAGTCGTCACACTTCGTTTTAACTGTATTGTTATAAAGCATATTAACGAAAGAAAATCCCGTTATAACGTAAGAAACTTCAGAAAAATTCTACGAAATTTAAATTCTCCATCCTCCCCGATTGAATTTGTAATTTCTGTCATCCCTTCCGGCATAGGAATACTAAGGGTGGTCCAAAAGTCAGTTTACCTTCGTATACGATGATAAATTGCTGTTATTTCGGCCCGAAATTGGTACAGTTTAATACAAATTCCGTTCTGAACGATCCATAACTCTCACAGGTATTTGAAAAACATAATATGAAACACGGTTAATTGACTTTAGGGCCTGCCAATCCTATTCATTATAGTTCAATTCGGTGTATATATATATATATATATATATTTTGTACCGAAGTCGGTTTTACGTTTCGTATTCTCACAAACGTCGTGTAAGACTAGAAAAGGAACACTGTCAACTAACTTTTGGGTCACCCTTTATTGTGAATTTATGTGTTAAAATGTCGATTCGATTGGTGCAAATGTCCTTAGGCTTGTTTCTGTTACTTCAAACAATTGGGTGGATTGTTTGATTTCCGAAACTTGGATTAAATTTCGTCTCCATTAAGTGATCCAATGAAAACAATAGAAACGAAAAGATATGAAAGAGAAATTATAATTAGTCGAGATATACAAATTCTAAATTTATATCCCGTAATTTTTACGTTAAAGTAAATAAATCTTTATTGAAATTTTCGAAAATAACATTTCTTAATTAAATTTTTGACGAGCTTGTTGCGGTATATAACGCGACTGAGTGTTTAGTGTTTGCCTAAATTTATATTAATTATGTGAATGTATACAAGGGTAAACAAACGTGTTACGAGGAAACGTGTTAAATAGGGTTGATAAAATAAAGCAAAGCAACACGTGGGCAATTTGACAAAGGGGACTGACCCCCTATTTGGGTGTTAAAGTTTATTTATTTATATTTTAATGTTAATATTTTCAAATGTAAATTTACTTACTATACCAGATTTTACTTTAGAAATTTAGGCAATTTTATAAATACGACAGTAAAATATGTAAATTAGTTAAAAGAAGATTGTTAGAAAGAGTGTCGTCACGTGGAAAACGTCATAAATCTTTAAGAACAAAGGTAATTAATTGTATTATATATAATTTATTTAAACTCTTTTATAACTTTATAAAGTATAACTGATGTTATTATTTACTTTATTCATCTGGCTGTTGGTTTGCAATTGAAATTTCGAATCGAATCTTCTTACAGAATTTGGTATCGAGTCGTGTCTTGATTTGTGTCCATTGCATTCTATTATGACACTTTCTAATAATAAACCACACGATCTCGTACGTGACTCCATTACACACGTCTCTTATGATATCGTAATAATAGTGGTTAAGTGCGCTACGTCAGCATATCCGGTCATAAATACATAAAAACTTTCTATAGATTTATGGCATGTTGGAATGTATCGCTACAATCCTTTAAAAATTGCTCAACTTTACTGTGATTTTTTTTTGTATAAATACATATAATAACCATATTTTCTTTCTGTAAACTTTAAATTAAATATACAGTATAAAGGGTGGCCCAAAAGTCAGTAGACCAAACTAGCTGTTGCCAGGATATTTAGGACCACAAGTCTAAGTGACTGTAGCCAGGAATTTTGTAAAATAAAAACGTGTTATAAATCCAGTTTGTGACTCGTATTCACAACAGAGAGAGCATGGTTAACTGAGTTTTGGGCCCCGTCGTATATCGAAGTCTACGCTTAGTATTATAAACTGCGATAAACCAAAATGATTAACAGAAAATATGGCTTTAATTATAATTATAAATTTACCC